TAGGATTTTGAAGAGACCTTTTCCACCAGATTTGTCCATTGTAATATGACGTTAAATTTCTTGACTGCCGTTTCCATGGGCATTGACTGTGGATCCAAGTAAAAGCAAAACCTTGGCAACTTGAGTCTTTTCTCTATTATTATGATGTCACTTATTTGTCCAATGGTGAGGATTTTGTGTCAAGATATACTCCATACAGTAGACTGAAGTCTATGGTCTTCATCCATAACGTTCTTTCCACTTTCAGTGAGCAAGTGTTACTGAAGAGTCTTCCTCTACTTTTGTCTCCTTCATATAAAACAGCTTCTTAGATTATTTATTAGCATTCCTCCCTGATTACCATCTGTTCTTGATCATGTGCTGCCTCTGGAAATATTTGCATGTTGACCAGTTCTTTTTGGTAGAGGGACTCTGAATTCCTCTCACCTTTCTTTGTTGCTTCCTGTATTGTCTAGGTGCTTACCCATAAATTGGTAATTTGAATTTTCAATTTGAGACACGCCAAGTGTGTTCTTCCCTTTGGGTTCTGTAATTCCAGGTCTCTGCACATTTCCTTCCACTTTGTCTTCTAAAGCCAACCTTTGAACTCTGCTGTTCAACTCTTTTACTTCATCATTTCTATTGTTCACTTTAGCTGTCCTGCATTAAGAGCATATTTCAGAGTCTCTTGTGATTTCTATTTTAACCTTTTCTTTTTCTTCTCCCTTTTCAATGACCTGGTGGTATAGTCTCTAAAGAATTGTTAACCTTTCTCAGGCAGTTTGAATCCACCAGTAGCTCTTTGGGAGAAAGATGGGAATTCTCCTCCTGTGCCATTTACAGTCTCAGAAAACCACTGGAAGGTCAGGTATGAGTCCTTTTTCACTCAACAGCAATTAATTTTTCATTTTCTTCACATGTTGAAATCTTTGATGTCATCCCACAACTCTTGTGGACTTCAGACGTTAGCATTCAGTACATCAGATCTCTTTGAGATGGTCTTCTGAACTCAGGTGGAATATACTCAGGGTTGTCCTTTGACTCTTGTGGCCTTATTTTCATATTCTTCACTTTCATCCTCAACTTGCATGTCATCTTTGATTCCACAGTGAGCCCTGGCTTTGTCCTGATGATATGGAGCTTCTCTGTCATCTCATCTCTTTCCACAGATGTAGTCCATTTGATTTCTGTGTTCCATTTAGTGAAGTCTCTATGTATATCTGACATTTACGTTGTTTAAAAAATAGGCATTTTTAATAATAAATTATTGGTCTTGCAAAATTCTGTCTTATGATCTCAGGCATAATGTTTGTTACCAGGGCTATACTTTCTAAATACTGAACCTTCTTTATTTCCAGTTTTTTCTTATCAATTATCAGTAATTATCAAAACATGTTGATTGCATGATTCATCCATTTTGGATCCCAGAGTTTGGCAAAAATGCTCAATTTCTTTATCTTTAGCGTTAGTGGTTGGTACATTCATTTAAATAGTAATAGTATTAACTGGTCGTCTTTGTAGGTGTCTGGGTAATATCCTATCACTGACCACATAGCACTTCAGGACAAATCCTGAAATGTTCTTTTTGACAATAAATGTGACACCATGCCTCTTAAATTTGTCTTTCCTGCCATAATAAACAATATAATTATCTAATTCACAATGGCCATTACCAGTTGACTTAAGCTCATGAAAGCTTAGTGACGCAGTTTTTATGTGTTCCATTTCATTTTTTACACCCTCCAGTTTTCCTTGATTCATATTTTGTATTCTCCATGTTCTGATTATTAATGGATATTTGCAGCTGTTTCTTCTCATACTGAGTTGTGCCATATAGGCAGATAGTCCTGATGACTGTCCTCTAATCACATCATTAAAGTCAGCACATCATTGAAGTCAGCTGTTCTTTGAGGAAACAACTCTTCTACAGTTGTATTTTGAGTGCCGCTCAACCTCAGGGGTCCATTTTCTTTCTGCAAGACTCTGTTTAACTCATGTTGTTGTTGTTATTGTTATGTGCTGTCAAGTCGCATAGCGACCCTATGTACAACAGCCCTAAACTCTGCTCTGTCCTGTGCCAATCGCACTGTCTCTGACACCCCCATCCCGATTACCCCAGTCACTGAATCAATCCACCTCATAGAGGTCTTCCCCTTCTGCGCCGTCCCTCCACCACCCTCCCAAGCATGATGTCCCTCTCCAAGGACCGGTCTCTCCTCACAACATGTCCAAAGTATGTTAGATGGAGCCTCAGAATCCTTGCCTCCAAGCAGCCACCCGGTTTAACCCTTTTCAGGACAAATCTGTTTGTTTTCCTAGCAGTCCATGGTACACTCAGTACTGTTCTCCAACACCACAGCTCAAAGGCATCAATTCTCCTATCCTCCTTGGTCATTGTCCAACTCTCTGATGCATAACAAGTGATTGCATCATTGATCTAACTCATATTCATGAAATTTTCATTGGCCAGTTTTTTAGAAGTCATCAGATCCTTCTCCCTACTGTGTTAGTTGGAAAACTCCAGAGAAATCTTTCCTCTGTGGGTGACCCTGCTAGGATTTCAAGTGCTGATGGCACAGCTTCCACAGCACAGAGACATACCAGTCCCCACACGGGCTGATGAACTGACGTGCGACTGATAGCTTTCTGAATGACCCATGTAAGATTTCTTCCTTTTCATAATTATTTTTAATAAAAACATTTTCCTTATAATCTTAAACTCATATTGCATTTCACTCATAATTAGCAGAAGGAATTGGTTCAGCAGTGACTCACAACTCCCATCATTATATCAGGCCTTAAGGAATGTGTTTTAGCTTCCTAAACAGGGTGTCATTTTTATCTGGCTGGTTTTGTTTTCATTTTCAAATTAAGATGGTGGCAATAATAAAGTCCTTTGAAGTGGGATTCATTTACTTAGGTATTTTAGGATCGTTATTTAACAGATTTCACGACAGAATGGAGTTCATAGGGGGTCATAACAAGTTTCTGTAACTCTTAAATATAATTTTTTTAGAAGGGGTCATGGTACTAGGGATATTGTAGCTAATGTTAGATATAGAGATATATATATCTCTATATCTCTATCTCTGTATTTATATCTATATCTGTATCTGTATCTATATCTATATCTGTATCTATATCTGTATCTATATCTGTATCTATATCTATATCTATCTATATAATCTCCATACTCTAGTACCACAACCCCTTCTAAACCCAGCCTGCAGTTGCAGTTCTGGCAGTTCTCTGTTGATGTGCTGTTCCAGTCATTTTTTTATAATCTTCAGCAGAATCTTGCTTGCATATGATATCAATGATATTGTTCGATAACTTCCACACTCTGTTGAATCACCTTTCTTTGGAATGGGAACAAATACAGGTCTTTTCCAGTCAGCTGGCCAAGTGGTTGTTCTCCAGATTTCTTGACACAATTTGGTGAGCACATCTAGGGCAGCATCTGTTAGTTGAAATAAGTCAATTGGTATGCCATCTATTCTTGGGGCCTTATTTTTTGCCACTTTTTTCAAAGCAGCTTGAACTTCTTCCTTCATCACTGTAGGGTCTTGCTCATATGTTGTTTCATTAAATTCTTCTGCATCCGCCAATTCCTTTTGGTACAATGGCTCTATATGCTCTTTCCATCCTCTTTTAATACTTTCTGGATCATTCCATATTCTGCCCAAATCATCCATAATTATTGCAACTCAAGGTTTGAATTTGTTCTTCAGTTCCTTGACCTTAAGAAATGCCGAGCGAGATTAGCCCATTTGAAGAGATCGAGATTGTTAACAGCTTTATTTGCTTGGCTCCACAATCAGCACTCTTGGCACCAGCAGCCAGAAAATTAAAAGACTTATTGAGATGGGGAAAGCCTGCTGTTAGGGACCTCTCTAAAGTACTGAAGAGCAGTGATGTCAGTCTGGAGACTGCGGTGTGCCTGATGCATGGTCGGTACAATCACTTGCTATGCATCAGAGAGCTGAGCAATGACTAGGGATAATAGAAAGACAGTTGATACCTTTGAGCTTTGGTGTTGGAGAAGAGTATTGAATATACCATGGACTGCTAAGAAAATGAACATGTTCATCCTAAAGAGGGTGAAACCAGGCTGCTGCTTGGAGGAAAGGATTCTGAAGCTTTGTCTGACATTCTTTGGACATGTTGCAAGGAGGGACCAGGCCTTGGAGAGGGATGTCATGCTTTGGAGGGTAGAGGGACAGCGCAGGATAGGAAGACCCTCTGTGAGGTGGATTATTTAGTCACTGGGGTAATAGGGGTAGGTGTGTCAGAGACAGTGAGATTGGCACAGGATAGAGCAAAGGTTAAGGCTGTGGTACATAGGGTCGCTATGAGTTGCAGGGGATTCGAGAGCACATAACTATGTGTGTGTGTGTGTGTGTGTGTGTGTGTGTATATAAAATATAACTCTTAATTATATAATTTGTTAGTTTTAAAACTATTAATAGAAAACTCACTTCAAAATTGATGACTAATTCTAAGATTTTTTTTTTCCAGAAATTACATACTGAATAATATTTGGGTTGTATTTGAGAGATATATTAACTCATTTCTTTAAAATTATGGCATTTTCCGTAACATTTAATATCTTCGATATATTTTGAGATGTGTATTTTTTTTTTCTTTTTGAGAGGCCTTACATTTCAAATAAAGGGCTATAGTTTATCCTCTGTGTTCCAGGTCTGTGACTAATGGGGAATGAATTCTTTTAATTATACTTAACTGATAAGATTATTTTTGTCTTTTGGCACAATCTATGGAAAAGATAAAGCAGATAAGCTGGTAATCACCCAGCAACAAAACATTTGTCTACTGACTCCAAGCGGTCTGAGCAAAGAAAAGAGCTGACACATGTGTGCTGCTCTGTCGGACTTTACCAGCTACCATGGAAAAAGAATGAAATGCCACATTTGATACCTGTGAAAGAAAGCACCCAGAAGATTCTCTGCTGTGACTCACTGCTGCTACTGTGAACTAAAATGTTTGTGTTTTTATTTTAGTGACATTGTACGCCTCCTGTATTCTCCTGGGAGTGTTCTTGAATAGCAGTGTACCTATATTTTTTGAGCTTTTTGTGGAAACCGTCTACCCAGTTCCAGAAGGAATTACTTGTGGAGTTGTCACTTTTTTAAGTAATATGTTCATGGGAGTACTTCTGTTTTTTCTCACATTTTATCATACAGGTAAGAATATGATTTTTTTTTTCTTTTACTACCTAAATATGTTTTAAGAAAGGTTTGTGACACTGATGTCTGCAAGTTTATGTAGCACATTCTCAATAAGGTAAATTCCTTTACTTGAGCCTTCCTGTGCCAGTAAGAGGAAATATCCCCGTTTGTGTTTCTTGAAGTACTTTTAAGCTGATCTAATCCATACTCACTCTCAGAATTTCAGATTTAATTAACTTGGGATGCACCCAGCCACCCAAGTAATTCTAATGTGCAGCCACTGCTGAGCTTGGTTGATAAGTTTTTTAAAAAAAAAAAAATCCTTAGAATCTTTTGTCTTAACATAGAGTGGAAATTACCTTCAGGTATTTATATGTAGTGCCAAACCTTAGGATGGGATGGGAGAAGATGACCCAAGAGGAGTATAGAGTGGATAGTTTATACTTAAGCACTTTCTATGTAATAACATTGGAGGACAGTGAATTAATTCTAAAGAGGGAGGAACAACTCAGAAAAGGAGGTGAGAATGGTTGCACAACTCAAAAAATGTAATCAGTGTCACTGCATGGTATATTTAGAAACTTTTGAATTTGTGTACGTTTTGCTGTGTTTATTCTCAACAAGACAACAATAGCAACTTTCTGTAATAGTAAAATTCAAACGGAAAGAACTGAAAAAAAAATTCAGTCCTCGAGTTTCAGTATTAAAGGATTCTATGGGGGTAAAAATTGAACACAGCAAACATTGAAAGAAGATGAAAGGAATACATCGGGTCACTGTGCCAAAAAGAACTGGTCAAAGTTTTATTGTTTCCTGAGGGAGCATGTTATCAAGAATCAATGATATTGAAGGAAGAAGTTATATTGAAACCACTGGCAAAAAAACCCACACAAAACTTCAGGGTTGCGAAAATACCACTTGAGCTATTTCAATAAAAGGGTCCGGTGCTAGCCACAACTAAGAAGCCGGGTTTCAACTTAGTTAATTATAAGTGACTGCATAGGGCTAGGAAGTGGCCACGTATGGCTAGTGGCCGTAGCAAAAAGTTTGGAGGACAGCTGCCTGGCCAGCAAACTACAGGCAATCCATTTGCATGCCTGTTCCAAAGAAAGATGACCCAAAGGAATGCAGAAATTCTAGAACCATATTATTGATAATCACAGAATTTTTCTAAAGATAATATTAAAAACAAGCATGGACATTGGCTGAAAGCAGAGAATACCAGAAAGATGCTTACGTGTGTTTTACTGACTGTATAAAGACGTCTGACTGTGTGGATCATAGTAAATTGTGGATCACATAGCAAGGAATGTGAATTCCAGAATACTTAGTTATGTTCAGGCAGAACCAGATCTTCCACCAAAAGGCGATCATTTGAACAGAACAAGGGGATGCTTTTTGGTTAAATATTAGAAAACTTGGGCATCACAGTTGTATCTTTTTGCCACATTTATCAATCTGTGCTGAACAATAACAACAAAAATCTGAGAAGCTGTACTATATGAAGGTGAACATGGCATCAAGATAAGAATACTCCAACAACGCTTGTTTGAAAGTGGAGACAATTTGAAGCACTTACTCATGAAGATGAGAGACTACATACAGCCTCCAGTATGGATTATATGTCAAAGTAAAACACAGTCCTCACATTTGGACCAGTCGCCAGGCCCTTCATTGCCATAGAGTTGGAACCAACCCAGAGCATGATCCTTCCACAGATTTCCAAAGCTGTAAATCACACCAGAGATCACCCAACTTTCTCCATGGAGCACCTAGTGGATACAAACCAGTAGAGAAGTACAGCGTTTGTGTTAGTGGTGCAGCCGTCTGAGGGGTGTGCCCCTGGGGCTCCCTGCAAGTCAGAGGAAATCTTCAAAAATTTCAGTCTTCACCCTGTTACTATGATGTTGGTACCCCAGTCAACACTGGAGAAATAGCAGTCAAGAAACCAGAGGACGCTTTGCTGAAAAAGAACTTTTTAGAATGTTTAGAAATGAAGATGCCACTTCCAAGTGCATCTTTGAAGACTAAGGTGAATCTTAACCAAAGCACAGTGGATCTGATCTCTTCAGATGCATAAAAAAGCTGCACGGTGAATAGGGAAGGCCAGAGAAGAGTCAGTATCTTTGAATCATGTTGTTGGTGAAGAATATACTGTGATCTTTTAGGAAAACAAACAAATCTACCCTGGAAGAAGTACAGCCAGGCTGCTCCTTTGAAGCAAGGATGGTGACATTCTGTGTCATGTCTGTTGAACTTATTGGTAGGAGGGATGGCTGAGGGACAGTGCCCTGGAGAGAGGGGCAGCAGGAAAGAGGAAGACCTGTGATATGGATTGATCCAGAGGCTGAACCTACAGTGGGCTCAAACTAGCAACACTTCCAGGCCAGCCCAGAGCAGACAGCATTCCATTCTGTAGCATAAGCGGGCTCTGTGAGTCAGATTGACTTGATAGTACAAGAAGTTTACTTCGAGTTTTAAACTTTCAAACCAAAGTTTAGATCCAATTTTATTCCATCATCTTAATATATAATTACCACCTTTTTTGATCATTGTTCTCTTTACTATTATTCTTCAGATACCAGTAAGTTTGAATACTTTGTAAAATTCAAGTGCAGAAATGGGATAACCCGGAAGCCTAATTATTTATAAGAAACTTTCCAACAGGTTTATATTTTAAATAATAACCATCTAACCTCCTGGACTTCTTCAAAGCTGATGAACAGAATCTGCCCTGTACACTCTTGGCTAGCCCTTTTGCCTAATGGCAAGAAAGTATTAGAATGATGTATTAATTCATTCCTTAATAGGCTCTGGTGGCCTAGTGGCAAGAAACTGCTCTGCAGTCCCAAAGACACACAGTTCGAGGCCACCAGCTGCTCAGCGGGAGAAGGGATGGGCAGTCTCGTCCTGTGCAAGTAACTGCCTCTGAAAACCCACCGGAGGGTCATCTATAGGTCGCTCCAACTCTATGGTTCACAACAACAATATAATAACAAAGTAGATTTTTTTCTGTCAGTAATGAAAATAACATAGGTTTCACCTTTGTTACATTTGATCAGAGTTACACTGATCCTGTGGAGCAGCATCCATTCCCACTCTCTCTTTTTTGTTGTCCTCCTGCAGGAGTGTGGTTCCATTAGGGGGAGGTGTTATCTCAGCGTATGTTAGAGGAAGACTTTTACCTCCAATTAGTTTAGAGACCCGAGGGTTTTTTGTTGTTTTGGTTTTGTTGTTGTTTTTTTAAATAGACTCGTCGAACAAACATGTCATATTTAATCCACTTCAGTTGTGTCACAAATTGTGTCTTCGGTTTCAGTTGAAATGAAGAGGTTTCTGCCTCTCTTCTGCCCAGTAAGGCATCTTGTGCCCCTGGGGTGATAGAAACAATGTTCCAGTTGGCGGGCATAGATTTACTAAGTGGGCCATGCAGCCTAGTAGATGCCTCTTGTTTTCATATCTACTGGGCATTGATCTTTCTCCTCCCAGTATTACAGACCACAACAGTCGATGCCAGTTAATTTTATTCCCCAGTATATCCCTTACATATGATCTCTTGGCATCTAATCCACTTGTGTAAAAGGAGGAAAGACATCAATAAGGATACTCAGCTGTCTTAGTCATCTACTGCTGCTATAACAAAAACACCACAAGTCGGTGTCTTTAACAATCAGAACATAAAGTTCCTAAGCTGTAAGAGGTGACAGCTGTAAGAAGTTTTCAGCATCTGTGGGTCTCCCATTCCTTGAAGATGTCTGTATGTCTTGGCATCAGTTTTCCCCTTGGACTAGGAGGTTCTCAGCACAGGGATCAGATCTGAGAGATGAAATAAGACAACGTGATGGTAAGATCTACTTAGTAGCTAAGGCGGAAGGTAGGGACAGGGCTTTAAAATACAACCATGGTGTCACCTGGCTTCTTGCTTTGAGTCAGAATCAAGATAATATTCTTATCCATCATTTTTGCTAACTCATTGAAGAACGTAGAGGTTGCTTTGGGAGGATGGCAGCTGGACCCAAAGAAGCACTAGAGAAGCCTAAACCTGGTATCGTTGAACACAAAGATGAGGAGCAAAGTATAATCGCACTGCCTGAAGAAGCGCTTGAGAGGATGGCCATAATCCTCATTAGATCAGTCCCAACAAGGCATCACGGCAGAGAGCCCAGTTCACTGAATTAAATGTGGCCTGCACCACAAACCGGCCCAGAGAGTGCCCAGCCCCCAGGGCGGTATCTCTGTAGAGCCAGCAGGAGTCCAGGCAGAGATGATGGAGGCTTATCTTAGACAGTGGCATCACATTTCCTCTAGAGAAAAACCAAGGGAAAGAAAGTTAGAAAGCTGTAGTATATTTATTTATTTTTTAAAATTTTATATTGGTTTGCATGCAAAGTTCATGTACATTGTTTCGTACTATTCTTCATTCACATTGTGTTTCATTCAATCATTTCATTAATTATGTGTTATAAAATCAGTCACCATTAAACCATGCCCATCATTACCCTGTCTTTGCAGATCCCCAGCAGATACTTCCCGTGTCTTTTACTACCACCCCCACCACCAAATTGTGGGACCCTGTGATTTCCCCCCTGCCCACCCTTACCCCTCCTTTCTTCCCACCTTCAGACCTAGTTATCCTTCTGTTTTTATAATAATGGTTCTATGCCGTATTTCTGGAAGGAGGAGTGGCATCCACTTGCCTCCGGAAACCCTATGAACCTGGAGAGAGGATGAAAGGCACCCAAGCGTCGAGGACTTTCCTTCATAGGGTCGCTATAAGTCGCCTGTGACTCGACGGCACTTAACAACAACAACATGCAGTATTTATCCTTATGAGACTGAGTTAGTTCACTCAGCATAATGCTCTCCAGTCTCTCCCAACTTATGTAGTAATTTTTGAAATCTTTGCTCCTGAATGCCATGTTGGACTAACTTTAAGGATAAAAATGATGTTGTTGTTGTCATTGTGTGCCATTGAGTCAGAAGTGACTTGTAGCTGACCTTACAGTGCTTTAAATTACATGGGAGGAATTTGCCCATCTTTATCCCATGGAGCAGCTAGTGGATTTAAACTATATGTCTGATTGGCAGCATAACTCCTTATTCACTAGGTCACTAGAATGCCCTTAAAAAGGATGTTGTTGTCATTGTTATGTGCAGTCGAGTTGCTTGCAACTCATAGTGACCCTATGTACCACAGCTCTGAACCCTGCTCTATCCTGAGCCAACCTCATCGTCTCTGACACACCTACCCTATTACTCCAGTCACTGAATCAATCCATCTCATCGAGGGTCTTCCTCTCCTTTGCTGTCCCTCCATCCTCCCAAGCATGACATTCCTCTCCAAGGACCTCCTTGCAACATGTCCAAAGTGAGATGAAACTTTAGATAAGAATAAGGAAACTTTGTGGATCGAGATGGTAGGTTCAGTTTCCTTTGAAGTCATTTGCTGGTTCTTGGGGCACCTAAGCTATGTTTTATGTTCATGGGTTTCAGATGAAAACATGTAGTGGTTTCCTTGCCTTTGACCTTTTGCTTTTTTAAAAGACAAATAGGTTTAAAGAGCACATGCAGTTGATGGAGCCAAATTAATTTACTGAGAGGTACTTTTGGCTTTTCAGGGGGAGGCGCACAGTGGAAGCACGTCAATAAACCTTGACAGTGAAGAGCTATTAGGCATTATTGTTAAAGGCTCTATCTGAACCCAGATAGAATAATTTTATAACTTTGATAAAATAAAAAGCCTGCTTTGGCAATACTTGACAAATTCCTTGGTGTAAGGACAAAAGAGATAAGTTTATTATTACTACATGTGTTTTTTAGCTCCTGTAAAATACAATCCTTGAGATTTTGAACATGTCATTGTTGTAGATTGTTTTGTCAAGTACCATACCTTCTATTATACATTGCTGAAAATTCTACCTCAAAGTCAGAATGCTCCTTTTCATTCTTTTAGTATGCTGTTGTCTATGTTTCCTAGGGTTGTTGGGGTTTTTTCCCCCCCTCACTTTTTCCACCACTGCTTTCTGCCTGTTAAAATTATCAGTAGCAATCCAGGGGTTATGTGGTTAATACAAAAGCAGAAAATGCCTGGGTTGTCATTTCAAGAATACCAGAATAAAGACAGGATCCCAGAGATGACAGCCTTTCTGAGTGTTTAGATTATGTTCAACCTACAGAGAACAGACTTTGCATGAAAATACCATTGAAATATAAGTCTTTGTGGCATGCTATAGAATAGCATGTCTGATTTTAAATGTAGAAGAAATTGAGAAGTGGGGAGGCTGTTTTCATGAGCTTATTTCAAGAAGAAAAAAAGATCTATTTCAGCACCTTTCCTTACTGGTAGGGTTTCTGATTTCCATTCCTGAGCATAAATTGCTCTTTTAGCCACATGAATTATGGATTACACTAAGGCAGCAATGTGGAAATCTTTGGGATGATTTTTCAAGATTAAGGCAATATTAATATTCTGTAGGAGTACAAAGGTAAAATATAAACCTAAAATAGCCCCCCCACACACACACACACAAAAGATGGTACCAGGGAATTGTTTGCCTTGTTTATTTGTTGTTTTTTTAATTGAAACTACTAAGTGGATAATAAAACTCTAGAAATTGTCCAGCCCCCTCCAAGCTCTTTATGCCAAAGAGTTGCTCACTTCTGCACTCACAGCCTCAAGGTGACTGGTGGAGAGGTTTGTGGCAGAGGGGCTGAATAGATACTTGGCTTGAGTGTCCTTGAGTTTGAGGACTGTCCTGTAGATTTTTGTAGGAGCATTTTCTTCGGGTTTGTTTTTGTTTTTTTTTTTCCTTATATATATAGCATCAAATTTTTAGGTGCACTATTTAGTGATGTCAGATACATTAACTATGTTGTGCAACCACCACCTATAATCGTTGCCAGATTTCCCATCACCATGTCCATTCACTCACAGTGAAGCAGCCTGTTCTTGATAACATTGACTCTAACAGCAGCGGAATTGCTGGTTTAGATTATTCTTGTGGGTATTCCATTAATTGGCATCATGTATAATCGCTTATGCTGGTCAAAGGAGAAAAAAAAATTAGATAATAAATCAAAATAGCCAGTGTGTTACCTGGGAGTAGAATTAGATTTTTTTTGTTTTCATTTTCTTGTCTGTGTATTTTCTAATCTGTTTCACAGCGATTAACACTTGGTATTTTTGCTGAGTATTATTCCTCTTCAAAGATAGAAAAGCATTGTCTCAAAACTGAGTTGATTCTTCTTTGGCGCTTCTCTCTGTCAGATTTCTCAACAGGACTAAGAGTGATGATGATAGAGGACGCTTAAAAAATAATTAACCAACTAGCATTTAAAGGTGGTCGATTTTCCTCCCCCTTTGGTTAGATTTATTTTGTCACCAAAGTCAAGGTGGATTAAATTGACGAAATGTTATTAGCAACACTGATTAAAAATATTCCACATGAAAGCTCTCTAATATATTACATGCATCGCTTGGCCTCTGGGCTGTCACTGTTTATTGAAAGCTGGTCTCTGGGCCTTCTTGGATGCATTCATTATAAGTGCGTCTGAATGCAGAGCAGTGACTCCCAGTAAACAGGTGGTGTTCAGCTGGTGTTATGAGAATGTTTAAAACGGCATGTTTTTGTCTTACAGAATTGTCTTGGTTCAACTGGTGCCTTCCCGGGTCGTGTTTGCTCAGTCTTCTCCTCATTCTGTGCTTCAGGGAATCCTATGACAGACTCTATCTTGATGTGGTTGTCTCAGTGTAATGGAACAGACTTGAAGGAGTTTAAAAAGAGACGAAATCAATACTGCATACTGCACATTTGCTTGGAATTGCACATCTAACAGGAAAAAAAAAGGAGAAAAGAAAACTTCATTCCGAGGTTTTGTTAGACGACAGATTATCATATTAATTTAACTACTGCTAGGTAATGCCGCAGGACTTAAGTGGTAATTAAAGACTTTTTAAAAACGATGTAAACGGCATAACTATGCCTGCTACTTGGATTGGAAGTGTGATGTCTTACACATAAAACACTACCTAAATAATTTCCTCCACATTTTTGTGTCAGTGCTAAACTACTGATCGATATTAATTGTAATTATGCAAAAAAAAAATTTAAAGGGTGTCTATGATATAACGATAACTCCTTCCCCAAGTCACATATCAGAATAGGAAGCTATGCCACTAACTTCTTAAAGAAAGAAATTCAAACTCTGTATCAGATTTTAACTATAAAATAGCCAAGGGGCGTGTAGATAATAGACATTAGCCACATGTACACTACATTTTTTTCTAATAAAGCCATTTCTTATATGACTCCTTATTTGTAATCAGGTCAGAAACCCTTGGCATCTGTACTGTGGTGACCACGTGCTTTCTGGTGACTTCAGAGCACACACCTTGTATCTCCATCTCCAGTGACCCGTGTTTCTGTGAAAGACAGTTGCGTCTGTTGCGCCCTTAAATACTTATGGTAAGGGTGAAGAAATGTTTAATGTAGTTGCATTAAATATTGTATGAGAAAAAATTTAATTCCGTTCTGATTTAGCACGTTCTTAAAAGTTAAATGACTATAATCACACGGGACGTGCCGTGTCTTCAGCCTGCATGTGTGGTGGCCCAGGATGTAAAAATCTAGCACTAACTGGTCCTGACCAGGATTCGATTGTATTAAATGGCCCTGGTTTGAAAGTAGGGATTTGAAACATTGAGTCTTTCAGATCCCTGGATAAATAACTGAATTGCTTTTTTTTTTTTAATTTCTATCCAGGTTGTAAATATTCAGTTCCGTGTGGAGTCCATATATCTGAGAAGGCAGCATTTTGCCAGTACCTGTCTTCCTTCTGTGGTTGATAGCTTTTTAAAAATAGCAGTTATTCAGATGGCGGTCAGACATGTCTTTGGCATAAGCTGTGCTGTGGTGGGAGTATGATGTTGACATCCTCTCGTTCATGTAATTCCCCTCACACTGAAAAAGAAAAACATTTTCCAGAAAAGTCAGTGAGAATACTTCTCTTATTCCTTGCCTCCCCCAACCCCTTCTTTTTTTTCTCACTTGAAATTGTCTTTTCATTGTCAACTAGTTTATATTCCCTTTGTCTTTTTCTGGATTGATGACATATAAGCCAGCCCTTCTGTCAGTCAGGTTGGCAATCAAGTGGTTAGAGTTAATTAATAAAACCAGCACTTAGTATCGCTCATCTCCACACACATGCGCACACACCACCACACACACTTGTGTGTATTATTCCCAGGTACCACTCCCTCCCTCCTCAGCCACTAAATCCCAGGCTACACATTAAATCACTTCAATCTGGTGGAAGATTCTAGGCCCATCTGATCATCTCTTCAGAGCCTGAGTTTGAAACTTGAAAGAAAACTCAAAATGTCACCACCACCTCACCACCCTCACTCCCATCTTCACTCACCTGTAAATCATTTTCCCTAGCCAGAAAGCTCACTTTGCAGCCAGAACTTGAGAAGCTTGCTAAAGAGAGAAAGAAAACCTGAAAACAAGACTTAAATCCAATTAACTCTGCTGTCTTCTTAAGTAAAAATAAAATGAAGGGGAGGCCAAATTCTTGAGCTTGATTGAAAGGCAGCCATTAAGAATGTCAGTAGACTAGCCCCAGAGGCTAACATAGACCCCTCCTTCTTTGGTTTAGAAAGCAAATTGAGAAGCAGTAGGGGATTATTGAGTATTTCAGTCAGAAATACCGAGACTGTATAAAATCCTATTGTGGTAGTAAAACTTCTGATATGAAATATTTTAATTACGCTTAATTCAACGTACAGAAAAAGATAACACTTTCAGAAATACTACCTAAATGACTAATTAGTTGAAAGAGACCCCTCTTGGGAAGGAATTATAAATTCTTACAATATGCCAGGAGCCAAGCATTGTTTTTGGCATGAGTGAGTTCCGCCCTCTCCATTGTTTTTGCTTACCCCTCCAGCAGGTAATTGTCCTAATTTCAAACTGTAACTATTTTAAATGATCAATATTTCAGATGTAACAGACTTGATAGGAAGAGAACTAAAAAGCCTGAGGGATTTGAGGAGGATCATACATTATTTATTTACCTGACTATCTCATATCATGGTTTTTGTTGCTGTTATTTCTAGCATACAACAAAATAGATCAGCTGCTATCTTTGCCCTTTCTGAAGAAAGTTTAGGACCCGAATAAAATTTAACTGAATGATAGCGTAACACTCCACTAATCCAAGTCCTCATTTTAGAATTCTAGAAATGAGGAAAGTTTCTCACCCAAGATCCCAGTGGTAGAGGGGTGACCCTCATCTTCTGACTCCCAGCCTGGTGTTTTCTCCTACCTCACAAAACAGCAGCTTCGTTTAGACATTTTAGGGTGTTCATGAATACTCTTTCTTGTTCAAAAATTATTTAGAGCTTAAGCGTAAACTGCCTTTGTTGAGTAGGTTAAGTACAGAGATTAAATTGAGATGATTTTTTTAAGTAAAATTATTTTATCAGTATTCAATAGGTGCTCTAAAATCCCTTTCTCTTACAGTGATGTGATAGAAAAGATTCTGATGAACAATCTAATCTTCATAAAAACCAAGCCAACAGCATTATTGACAATAACTTTCTGTAGTGTAAGTTGCCTGTGGCATTGGTAACAGTGAACACTTGCCCATTTATGAGAGGAAATATTTTTAAATATGGTTCATGGGTGAAGTAGAACAGCAAGACAATGAGATAGACAGGTACATTTCATTCAGGGATGGAGCTAATCAAATAACAAGAAAGAATCAAATGCAAATGTGGTTTGGTGTATTTAAGCATATATGGCCTCAGGGCTGAGTTTTACCATAGATCATCTATTCATGTTTAATTATTGAGAATGTTTACAGCTTGTTTTTATGATAGCCCTCTAATGAGGCATCCCAGCTAAGAGATTTTAAATTAAAGAGATTAAATTCCCATCTGCTTATCTTTTAATTAGTTTTTTTTTTTACCATTATTTCTACTAAAACCTGGGAATGCATCTTGATGTTTGCATTAGTGCAAGCTTCATTTTCAACTCAAAATTAAATACAAACACAGAGCAAATTTGCTTTAAATTAGCAATAAAAATTATATTAATTTCACTTTTGTCCCTGAAATAAGTAGTTCAAGAGTTATAGTGATTACCGTATATGTGCATATAATGCACCCACATGAATAAGGTGCTCCCACATATAACACACAGCCCTGGAGACTAGCTCAGGAGAGGATAACGTGATGCATATACATACATGGTGCATGCTTGTTGAGGAAGGTATGGTATACTATATTCCTACGCAAGTACAAGTCCTATGATATGAAGAAAAGGTTATACAAACAAAGAAATAGAAAATCTGAATTAATTTACTGGTAAAATAAAACTCCTTTTAATTTAGAATTATACAAAAAGAGGGAAGATCACGTTTTATTTCCATACTATACAGTTTGCTAGTTGCACAGGAAATATAGGCAATACTTCGGGTGCTGTGTGGGCCATCTCAGAAGAGAGTAGTTCATAGTGCAGTCTGTGGGTGCTTTCATAGTGTCCACTTGTGTGTGCCGTGCTCAGTGGAGAGGAGTGGTGTGTGTATGATGGACTTGCTCCCCCTCACGTATACCTCTGGCTTACCTGGAACCCCTCACTTAGGAGATGACTTCCAGGAACTAACATGACCTTAGGAGACCCATGAGGGTGTTGACTCTGGCCAGGGTCCTAGGAGCAAGGAGAGGCTGGGGAGTGCAAGCAGTGGCATAACTTGAAATCTCTGCATTGAGCCATCATTCTTATTACCAGCCATTTCAATTTGTTCTTGGCCAGTGCTGAAATAATAGTAGCCACTTTCACTTAACAGTTTTCTGAGGCTTTGTCCCATCCTGGGGTCTCAGCTTTCTGAACTCTTGAATGAACCTGACCTCAAGCTGCCATTCTGCCAAGATCTCCACTTCTTTAACTTGACTTGGTGGAATAGGCTGTCATCCCACTCAGCTTCTCCCTCAGCTCCCAGGCAGAAGAGCCAGCCTCACTCCCAATCAGGAATTGAGGATGTGTGGCTGGGCTTCCCGCTCCCCCGGGCAACTCCAGAAAAGAGTTAACAGTTTGTGCGGCTAAACGTTATACGTTGGAATAGTTCCCTGAAATGGGTGTTGTAGAGGTCTCTAACAAAGGTTTCCAGTTAGTATTAGGCACATATGTAGAATACAGTCTCATTGCGCTGCTGGAGTCATGGTTGTGCTTTGGAACCTGGTCAGATTCTTACAGTAGCTTTCCATCTTAGTGCACACTCAGAACAGAAAGTTAACCCAGTATAAAATGTAGCTAAAACAGAAAGCCAAGCAATGGAGTTTATTCCAGCAGCTTGTCAGAGAGTTTTGGTTTTAACACCTCAAACCATTCTGGCTCCAGCCATGCTAGACTTAGCACATTCTGAGGCTTAGGATGCCCGAGGAGGTACTAGACAGTCAACCCAAATGCCCCAGTCCTCTTGAGTTCCTTCTTGGCTCTTCGCATTTGGGAAGGAGAATTCTGCAGCCTAGAATGGAGTGAAAGGGAAGGAAAACTTGGGAGCGTTTTTAATTTACCTTAATCTTAGAAAGTGGGCTTTTTACTACTATTTCATTTAGACTTCAAATTGACTTTCTTCCCTGTGACCTGGAAGAATCAAAGAAGTGACCTCACCCAGACACCTCATTTCACAAATAAGAAAGCAGAGGGAATTTTTTAGCTAAATGGCTCGGGTGAATTCAGAGAGAGCAGTCCTCACAGCCCCCGATCAGTGTTCCTCTCATATCTCATCATTGTGTTCAGATGCCAGAAGTAAATCCTTTAGGGACATTTTCTTTCATTTCTTTTTCTAAAAAGTGTTTTAATTATGCAAGAAGTGCATGAATGTGTAAACCACTCTAAATACCCGGTACAGAAATAGAGACAGTAGAAGTAAAGGCCGCCCCCATACACATGTGCTGCCTTACCCATTCTCCTCTCCAGAGGTAGCCTCTGTGAATCCCTCCAGAAACTTCTCTATGCATTTGCATATATATATGTATGAAAACTTAGAAGATACTTGAAATCAAATCATCCAGGGAATTAGCTAATGCGGGTTCTGACAGTTGTTAATATTATCACGGTCAGCTTCTTGGGCTGTTAGTAGTTTTTAGGTTTTTAGACCAGTAAAGCTGATGAACTGGATATGTAGTAGGACAGGAACTTGGTTTCATTTGGTCACTTCCTGCCCTTTTCCTCCTTTCTGATAGTGGCCTCTTACTTCTTTCTGACTATGCTTGGAAGTAAACAGGGAGAAAACAAGCTTTTCTGGATTG